TTGACAAATAAATCGCTTGAAATATTGCATGACTTGCTACACAACACCCTTATTACTTTCAATTTCCAAGTGCAACCAAAAGATGGGTCCAATTATGACATCAATACAAGCTTTCTTTCAAAATGGAATGAAAGAACAGTAAATCCCAGTGGACACCGGAGTTCTGTAGCAGAGATGATGTAATATATAAAAATAGACATCCTTCAACAGAAGCTGAAACTTGGGTAAACAGCACACTGCATACCATTCTCAACTGCCTTGCATGAATTTACAATGCATGCTGTTAATAGCGTGAGAAATCATTTTATTTTCTAAACTATTTCCTGATTTACATTTCAATTTCTGTACATACGCTATAGTGCACTTTCCCAATCCATATGAATTAAATCAACATAAATACCTGATTATAACTGCAAGAAAGAGAATTAGTGACCCCAAAGCAAGGAGGTTGAGACCACTACAGCAGCTTTAACATGCTGCATTTGGCCAGAAATTGCAGCACACAACACAGTATTGTTACATCCACCTATTGTACAGAGACTTTTCCACAGGGAGCTTTCTGTAGGATGTTAAAATGCAACATAATCTAGGGTACAGAGGAACTAGTAAATCTGCTGATAATGGGTGTGAAAAGCAAAGGATACTTTTGACACCACTCTCCAAAGACTCTTCTGATGAAAATATAAAGCATCAGGCATCCAAAAAATAAATTTTAGTAAAATTTGTGGGGGTTTTTATTTGTATGTATATCACTCTCTAACACTCTCTCCACATCCTCTTTTCCATTCTTTATTACCTAATTCAGTTTTCACATTTCTATTTAGCTTTCCTGGATTAAAGAGTAATCTGCTTGAAACTAATCTACCTCAAACTCTCACTCACGTATTTATATTCATATACAGTATGGTCATTAAACACTATTGGAATAGAAAGTACAGCCCATAAAGCAAATCATCAGAAATTAATGAATTAGAGCTAAAGTTTTACTTTGAAACATAAATTATTTCTACTTTCTTCCCCCCAAATACCACCTAAATCCCTCACCTTTCATTCTTACTCCAGTTGCCGTGTTCTAGCCACCACTTCCATTTCCATTACTTAACCAGGTCCTGTGGTCTCACCTGACCATCCCTATACCCAAAATCTATTCCATCTCAGAGCCAGAGTAGTTTATTTAAATGTAAATCTCAGTATGTCACACCTCTGTTTCAGTCTCTTTGTTCTTCCTCACAGTCATGAAAAAGTTCAACTTTCAACATGGCTTTCAAAAACCCTATGACCACTCAACCTCTAAGTCTTTGAGCAAATAAGATTCTTTCTGTACAAAACATCTTTCTTTGAGCCAAGACATTAAGGTGGTTCATGAAATCATCCCTGACTCCTGTAGGGGCCTTGGGTGTGTACCATTTATTTATCTGTATTCCCTGTGAGACTATAAGGGCAAAGGGAGCGCAGATTCTCCTGTGTTGCAGACTTTTATATCTCTAGAGCCTGGGACAGACCTGAAGCATGGTGGGCACTCAATGAATATGTGTTAAATGACCAAAAATATATAAATGAAAATATTGAGCTTTTCTCTCTATGATACAAGAAATAAAATATACAAATTTCCTGAAACTCCATCCCATTATAATTCACAGAGACACTGATAATAATATTGAAGACAAGTCTTCAGGTCCAATTAAGCAAACAAATGCTTGATAAATTTGTTTTAAAAGGACAAAAAATGTTAAGAGAACTAAGAAATTTCCTCTGTATTTGCATAATTTCATATATATGTACATAAACAGATTTTTAAATATCATCATATAAATTATAGCCAGGTGTGATATCATATAAACTGAAGGTAAAATCTGAAGTCCTTAAATATTCTAGGAAATTTACTAGCTATACAAGTCACTGACACATTACCCAAAACATATCCTCTTATTTTAAGTAGCAAATACTGAGTCACACCTAATAAATAATAAATGACAAGGCAAATACATGACATGAGTAAAAATATTGCCTACTTCTTATTTAAGAGCATAACTCAAGTCAAAAAGCCTAAATGTCAAATAAATGTGCACGATCACGGAAACTAAATGCTGTAATGTTTTCATTTGTTTCAATAGCTAAATGATTTTTGAAATGAACCAAAACTACCAAGGAGTCTTTAACTGAAGGAGAAATCAACTTAACTCTATCTCAAAAGAAATAGTGACTTCAGAGATATTTAAGATATATTCTAGGAATGGTTATATCTTATATACCCATTGTAAGAAACAGAATTTGTCTTATATTATTATACATATTATATATTAATATGTATAATATATAAATACTATATAGTTTTAAATAATATATATTTAAAACTAATAACCTTAGTTTTAAAATGAGACTGATTTTCATAAGCCTCATATATGAATCAATCTTATTACCTTGCTGCCACACTTTAAAAATATTGTATTATCACTGACTACAACAAAAATTATTTCCATAAAGTTTAATATTATATGGCATTCAACTTACATTATATTAATTTAATCTTATGTAATATTTTCCATTACTTTTGCACATTCTGTCTAAGAACATTAAGCCTCATCTACTGGAAAATTCAGTGTACCTTTATGAAACAGTACTCTGGAGTGTATTTTCACATTGTAGAAAAGGACTACTAATAAAATGTGTGGGAGATACGCTTTTACACAACCAATGAGTTTTCATCATTTTAAAATTTTTGCACTGACTGAAACTTTACAAATATGTTTTATTTACACTGTGTTCAAATTCTCCTGATTCAGATTTGTATAAAGTGGAGCTGTATTTCTGGGTAAGCAGGAGTGGGAGTGTGAGGTCAACCAGAACTTTAAAGCATGGAGAGCATTTTAATATTGTCACCAGCCTAGGAAGGATGGAAATTACGCAATGTCAGTTGGGACACATAACCTTTACAGTTGGACAAGTTTTCTTCAATCTTTAGTCTAATATTTCTCTGTACAGTTTTCCTCTTTCCAAACTGGAAAAATGGAAGAGCTGCGTTTTTTCCTTATTAAAATCAGGGGAGGGATAGAAGATGATGGAAGAGGAATGTGCCAGCTTCCCACGTCGCTCCAATAAGGTAAAAGTTAAAATGGTCCTTCCTCTCCTCTCCATTTTTAATATGGAATTCAGATTTTCCTACCCACACAAACTTCTAGAATAAATTACTGATCAATACAGAGAAAGCTTGAAACCATGGGTAAAACAAACATAGCTTTTCTTCTCCTGCCCTATTCTGAACCCGGAGACAAGGTAAACTTTACCATCCAAAGTCCCCAGATAGTCTCTTTAGTGATGGACCCCAAATCTTCCAGCCTCTGCCAGGAACCTTATTACCTGCCTCTATAACTACTCACTCAAAGACTGAAAATTCATGCTAAATCTTATTTTTTAGCAATTTTAAATACAGCCTCAATCTCTACTCATCAAAATGTAAGAAAATGCTAATGAAAGCCATCTCCAATCTTCCTTTCTCACTGCATTTTAAAATGCTATTCTCTCCGCAAACTTCATACACTTGCCTTGAAAAATGTCCTGAAAACACACTACATGGACTATGAGTATTCACGTTTCTGAAGAAAATAATTATAATCCATTTTAAACTATTGCAACACATCTAATTTTAAAAAGTGTACATTAAAGTATACATCATAACTCAGTGCATATTTTAAATTCAATTCCAAGTTCTAAGTAGGAATTAGACTAGTAATCTATGCTAAAAAAAAGAGGAAGATCAATTACATATTGATTTACCTTTTAAAATATTATGTTATATGTTAAGTGTACTCTTTTCAGAGAGAAGCTGAAAACACTGATGTACATAAAACTGTGTACAATTTAAAAATTATTTTATTTAACGTAAAATTTTTAAATTATATAAAAATGTTTTAGATTTATCACATCATTTAAAAATTAGTAGTGTTTCCAAAAACCAATACAGCAATCATGACACCTGTGGCATTCTAACACGTACTCTCTTGTATAGAACATAAAGGAACTGTCTTACTTTAATTTGAAAACTTATACATAAAATTCATACTTTTAGGCAAAGTTACTCTAACAGCCAAAGATATATAGATGATAGATTTCCCCAAAATGAATAAATTATTCATGATCTTTTCCCTGTACAATGATAAAACACAAGCACAAAATGCTACTAGTTACTTAACCAATTAGTTTTCAGGAATAAATCAGTTTTTCTTCCTTGACTCAAAATTCCCTGATAACCCCAAATGTAATCTAGATTTTCAAAGAACTCACACTGAAAATCATAGATTTTAGTACTTAGTACAGTACTTAGTCATGTACTTTAGTACTTAGTATAGTACTTAGTCATGTACTAGCATGAAAGAAGTGACCAAGGAGATTATTACAGACCTCAATTAAAATGTAGAATGAAATAAAAGCAAGAAACCTTGTTAAAAATAAAGTGCAAATAAGAAAACACAAAGAGATTTTAAACTTTGTTTTCTTTCTAACTAAGCTTTTTAAAAAAAATCTGACTGAAATTTTACCAGTAGCCTCCCAAAATGTTCTCCCATTGGGATTCCTGAACTTTAAAGTTTTCATCTATAGTATTTAAAATGTAAATTTCTAATGAATTTCCCATAAGCTTTCACATAAAAAGGAAAAAAAATCCTTTATGTCTGCCTGCGTTTCTCTCTTCATTTTTTTATTTGCAAAGCAGATTAGTGAAGAATAGTGTTCCATTCATTTTTTTAAGTGCTCCATTCATTTTTAAAAATAAGTAGCTTGCACTTGAATTCTTTCTTCAACATGGACAATCCATCCCCAGGTCTGTATAGATCAAGCAGCCTATTCTACCACCCAAACCACTGATAATTTCAAAGTAAATTAGGGCAAAATACAGAAGGACAAGACCAAGCACAACATACCAATATTATAAATTCATTAGTAACAGTGCAAATTCACACATAAACTTAGGTTAGTGTCAGGAGACCACACACAAATTACAATACCTGAGATTTAGTGCATTCCTTTGAGCCAAAATGAAATGAGTGCCATAAAGGAGGAAAGGAAAAGATGAACATTATCAGACATGCTATATTACATCTGCCAAAATGAAGATAATGTTAAAATTAAGTTAAGAATGATCATACAGAATCAGCTATATGTATAATGCTTCCCATGTTCTTTAGCCATGCACTTGAAATGCACTTGCAATCACTTTAAATCACCTGTGAAGTTGATCATGCAATTCTTTTAAATAAACTTTTCACCCTCAGTCCTTCCCTATTAGTCAATTTCCTTCAAAGAGAACTATTTCTGTTAAAAATAAGTAAATATGATGTAGGGGTAATAAACAATAATTTCTATTTAATTCTTTTTACTATGTGGTATCATATATACAAAACAAAATTTTGCAATCTTCCTACATTAAAATTATGTATTTATGTAAAATAAATATAATTACGTCATTTTTACACCCCAAAAAGGATGCAATCCTTATGACCATGTTGTTGAAAATCTTAACTCATTTAGTAAAACTAATGCCACATGTCACACATTAATAAACCAGTATAAGATCCATTAGTAATCAAGCCAAATTTTTCACCCTAGTATTGAATTTTCCCTAAAAGTATCTGCTGGCTAGGTAAGACATTCTTAAAAATCCACTAAAAAAAAAAAAAAAAAAAAAAAAAAAAAAAAAAATCTTGTAACAATAAAAGAAATATATTTTTTAAAACAAATAATGAAACGGGAGCAGTGTAAGGAAACTGAAAGAAGTTTTCCATAAAAGAGGAATCACGGTGGGGGTGGGGGTGACAGTTATCAAATGGCCCACCCAACTAAAGTGTGACAAATACGACTATAAGAACAAACAAACCAACTTTAGCACTACATTTTAAATAATCCATACTCCCACTGACTATTTTAGTTTGAAAACTAAACTGGAAAAACAATTCCAAAGCAGAAAAAAATTAGCAATATTAATGCTAGGCTAAAATATTATCTGTGTTGTACTATTAATATGTGTAACTATTTTTAATACATATTTCCTTCTTCCATAATGCTACATCAACCCCAAAAACATTACCTTCTTTTATGGACAATGGTAACAAAAAACCTTTCATGGTTTTTTTAATACTAAGTCTCTCCAATAGACAAAGATGTCTTTGTGATGAGCAAAAAGCAGTCCTTTCCAAATGAGCTCAATGCAATGATTCAACTATGAAATTCATGTTAAACTAAAATACTTCATGGGTAGCAAGAGGAGTAGTCAGATTGCTAGTGGTTAAAACCACATTAAATATTTAAATAAAAAGAGCTCTCTTAGAAATAGAATATATGAAGTGTGGGTATAAGATATATCACTTAAACTTATTAAAAGTTGAGTAAATAATTGTAAGTCTATATACATTTTCCCATGCATTTTGTATTTATACTTATTTGCAGGAAAAAAAACCGTAAACAACTGGGGAATGTAAAACAGTTGTTAATTATCTATTTTTATTTTTTACATTTTTATTTTAAAATTAATTATACATAAAATAACCACTCATTTAATGGTATTACATGCATAAACGATCTTTCACATTATTATGACCCATCCAGGAATCTAAGCTGCTTTGCTCTTGAAAAAACAAAGGAATAAGAAAAATAAGGCTTTAAAGTGACTTTATTGAGGTCTTAAACAAAGCACTCATTATCTGTGTCTTGGTTTCCTCAAACATAAAAAGCAGTTTATTTATCAATATTTATGAAATAAATGACAATCAACTGGGTTATGTCTGCCTGCCTTTAAGAGGATCTTTGAACCTATTAGAAATATTTCAAGGCATCTTCACATTGAGATTTTAAAAAGCATTATTTCAAATTATTCTTACTTCATTGCATTAAAAAAATAAATCTCAGATATTCTCACAATGGTATAAAAAACTATGAAAAATAATGCAATTTTTACATATCTACTTTTAAATAGATAGCAGCCATTCGGGTTGGGAGTGAAGGGTGGAGTGCACAGGAGGGGGCTAAAATGTTAGATTAAGGTAAAACAACTTAAAATACTCCAATTACAATCATATGGGCTTATCACAAAGCTGATCTTCAGAGAACAACTTAAGAAATAAAGGAGCTAGCAAAGTCTGTGGACATCTTATTTCAATGTCTTTTAAAAACTAATCATATCATGTTTGCTTCCAGAAAAATCTACTATTTCTTTAATAAATATAAGTTTAAATAATATATAAATTTATTTTATATTTATTAACATAACAAAAATAAATAAGTATATTTAATGTGTGTGTATATATATCATTGAAAAGATTTGTCAAAAATTGAAAATTTAAACATCTTTTCATAAAACCCCAACAAAAAAACTAGAAATAAATAAAATGATTACACTTGTATAACTTACCGTGTGATAGCCTCTAGGCAAAGGAGGTTTGCCCATGGGATAAGGATCCACGGTGTCAATAATTGTTTGTCTTTCACCCTTCTGGTTGATTTTTCTAAATCTCCTTCGAGACTGTCTATGGGAAGCTTGACGCTGAAAATATTCTTCATTTTCATCCATATAGTCCACCTGAAATAAAACCCCCCAAAATTTCATTTCTCCAAATGCAACATTTCCTATTAATATTAGATACAGAAAGAAACTTACAGATAACCCATATTCAATCATCTTGCAAAGGACATCTGTAGACAAACTATCTAGACAAACTTCAAGTGTCTCTGAACTTCTCTGGAACTAATTGGTTTTAAGTAACATTTCTTTTATGAGGAGGCATTTTCAGTTCCACTTAGGACAATATGGGTAACTCTTGAATTTCCTGTAGTTTCAAAGGGAAGGATATTTTCAGCAGTCTTTGTACTGATTTATTAGTGAAAGATCTCACAGGATACATTACCACACATTATGAAAGCAACTGCCACACTGTCTTAAGCAACGTGGAAAAAACGAAAACCAAAAAAAAACTGATGGAAATCTGTAAAAACCTCCAAATGACTCAAACACTGCTAACAGAATGGCTTCGGTAGGTTATGCAAGGGTTTCTCCTTCTACTTTCATTCCGTGACTTCAGTTTCTTTTTTTTATAAATAGTGTTGTTTAAAAGTAATTCCTCATTTAAAAACATTTTAGGCCAGGCACAGTTGCTCACATCTGTAATCCCAGCACTTTGGGAGGCTGAGACGGGTGGATCATGAGGTCAGGAGTTCAAGATCAGCCTGGCCAACATGGTGAAACCCCATCTCTACTAAAGATACAAAAAATTAGCTGGGTGTGGTGGCACATGCCTGTAATTCCAGCTACTCGGGAGGCTTAGGCAGGAGAATTGCTTGAACTCAGGAGGTGGAAGTTACAGTGAGCTGAGATCATGCCATTGCACTCCAAATTGGGCAACAGGGGGAGACCCTGGTTCAAAAAAAAAAAAAAAGAAAAGAAAAAATTAGAAATGCTGATGAATGAACAGGGAATAAAAGTTACATTAGGTTATTCCTCATGTGACTGCCCATAATGGAGGCATGTTTAGGTTATGTAACTGTTCTCACACCAGCAAACCTAGTAGTTCATGTAGTATCAGCAAGTATAAAATACTCAATTTTAAAGACTAAAAATCCTTCAGAGAAAACTAAAAGTGGCATTAACAGAGGGCAAAATCTCAAGGAAATATCTTGACTATCTACTGTTGGAAAGTGCTATATAGCTGCCCATATTCTTCCCAACCCTAAATCCTTACTCATAACTATGCTACTTTCTCACTTGAGTACATTTTGTAAAACTTTACCAAATATTTCAGTAAATTTTACAAAAAGTTTGCTAGCTTTGATGAGGAAGTTCTCATTTCTGACGGAATTCCTCTCCTACATCATAGGGAAAAACCCTACATCTTCTCTGAAAACAGACCTACAATTGTTTATCAAATACTTTACTAAATGTGAATAAAGTTTCCATCGTCATCTTTATTTGGTTATCATTTACTTTACAAGATCTTCCTTCCCAGCTAGGATGCTGGATGGGGACAGTAAGAATATCTACTGAACGTCTAGACTGGGAAACTCCCCTTCCACCTCATCTTATTTCTGTGACTGATTTTTTTAAAGGGTACATATTATCCTATCTTAAAATCATTCTTATACAGTAAGAAAAAAGTATGACAGGTTTGGTTTTTAAGCTTCAAGGTTGCTAATATCTATTTTACTAATACGTTCCATGTATAATCTCTCTTTATAAATTTTTAAGTCACAAAATTCCACTAAAAAGAGAGAAAAGATGTCAACAGAGTGTTTAACCAGCATAATAGTCCCCAAATTTCCTTTTAATTACTTCAAAGAATTCAAGTGATTTTCTTGTGTTTTTAAAAATAGTGTTGTTTAAAAAATAATTCCTCATTTAAAACATCTTAGAAACTCTGATGAATGAATTAACAGTGAACAAAGTTCCATTTGGTTATTCCTCACAAACACTCACAGTGGAGGCATGTTTAGATTCCAAAATTGTTCTCACACCAGCAAACCTAGTGATTCATTTAAAGTAAGTCACTCAAACCAATCAAAACTTGGAGAGCTAAAATCCTGCAATCAAGAGATTCTCCCCAAATTTCAATTAAATGGCATTATTATAGACTGAATTACAAGGTACAAAAACCAAACACTTAGCTACTTGTACTTTTTAAAATTTTTTTGCATTTAATTGAATCCTGTAAATAATGAAATATTATGATTATGAACTCAAATTCATAATAAAAAGTTGTGAAATAAATATATCTAATGTTATAGAAAATATACAATATTTTCTATTCAACAAAAATCTAATATTATAAGTAGTTTGTAAAAATGCCTTTATTTCATGCAATTTTTCAGGAGAAAAATAGTCCTCACAAGTAATACTCTTACCACAATCATCTCAGAAGGCTCTAAAACAATGCATTCACAGCCACGCCTAAAACTTCCTGCAGAACGCTTGCCAAAACTAGAAAGAAAGAAAAAAAAATCAATGAGGACAACCTCAGAGATTTAAGTAATATGAATTGGGAACATAAGCCAAACTTCCAGATAAATAAAAATTAAAAACAATTACAAAATGTACACCTTGGAGAAAGTGAACTATCTTTAATAATTTCCACAGAATGACAAGAAAGCATGCAAATTCTTAAGTTTCAGTCATAGATTTTTCTGGAAAATTCTAACATAATATTTTCAAATTAATGATGTAAGAAAAGGAGAATTATTAGCATGGGTGAGTTTTCTGTTAGGTTATTTTAAATCATCCTCAGGTGAACTTTGAGAATATTCCAGTAGGGATGGGAAATGTCTCAGTGGCAAACTATAGAAATGTCCCAAAGAAGTATAAAATGCATGTACATGTAATTCTCTTCACAAATTGCTTAGGTTAAACTCTTTTTTCACCTAAAAAGTGTATTTATTTTCCTAAATTTTCAAATCAACTTATTCTAAATGTTTTAAGAAAAAGATACTCAACTTAAGACTTTATTTTTACAGTAAACTGATTTCAGTTGATGTACTACTGAAAGCTCATTCCTCCTGAGAACTCTGCATGAGTGAACACAGACATAGCACCTTTGCCTTATCTGTGGTGAATTCCCATGTTAACACCGGAGAAGATTTATTGTTTCTGACATAGGGATATGCAAACTAGAATCAAGAACAGAGAATTCCAGTGAAGCTCTCTTTGTTAATGTGACACCTCACTCATTCACAAAAGTATTTCTTTCCTCCCTTTTAACATGAACTTTTAAAAAATTATTATTATACTTTAAGTTCTAGGGTACATGTGCACAACGTGCAGGTTTGTTACATATGTATACATGTGCCACGTTGGTGTGTTGCACCCATTAACTTGTCATTTACATTAGGTATATCTCCTAATGCTATCCCTCCCTGCTCTCCCCACCCCACGATAGGCCCCGGTGTGTGATGCTCCCCTTCCTGTGTCCAAGTGATCTCATTGTTCAATTCCCACCTATGAGTGAGAACATGCGGTGTTTGGTTTTCTGTTCTTGCGATAGTTTGCTGAGAATGATGGTTTCCAGCTGCATCCATGTCCCTACAAAGGACACAAACTCATCCTTTTTTACGGCTGCATAGTATTCCAGGGTGTATATGTGCCATATTTTCTTAATCTAGTCTGTCACTGATGAACATTGGGGTTGATTCCAAGTCTTTGCTATTGTGAATAGTGCTGCAATATACATACATGTGCATGTGTCTTTATAGCAGCATGATCTATAACCCTTTGGGTATATACCCAGTAATGGGATGGCTGGGTCAAATGGTATTTCTAGTTCTAGATCCTTGAGAAATCACCACACTGTTTTCCACAATGGTTGAACTAGTTTACAGTCCCACCAACAGTGTAAAAGTGTTCCTATTTCTCCACATCCTCTCCAGCACCTGCTTTTTGCTGACTTTTTAATGATCGCCATTCTAACTAGTGTGAGATGGTATCTCATTGTGGTTTTGATTTGCATTTCTCTGATGGCCAGAGATGATGAGCACTTTTTCATGTGTCTGCTGGCTGCATAAATGCCTTCTTTTGAGAAATGTCTGTTCATATCCTTTGCCCACTTTTTGATGGGGTTGTTTTTTTCTTGTAAATTTGTTTGAGTTCTTTGTAGATTCTGGATATTAGCCCTTTGTCAGGTGAGTAGATTGCAAAAATTTTCTCCCATTCTGTAGGTTTCCTGTTCACTCTGATGGTAGTTTCTTTTGCTGTGCAGAAGCTCTTTAGTTTAATTAGGTCCCATTTGTCAATTCTGGCTTTTGTTGCCATTGTTTTTGGTGTTTTAACCATGAAGTTCTCGCCCATGCCTATGTCCTGAATGGTATTGCCTAGGTTTTCTTCTTGGGTTTTTATGGTTTTAGGTCTAACATTTAAGTCTTTAATCCATCTTGAATTAATTTTTGTATGAGGTGTAAGGAAGGGATCCAGTTTCAGCTTTCTACATATGGCTAGCCAGTTTTCCCAGCACCAATTATTAAATAGGGAATCCTTTCCCCATTTCTTATTTTTGTCTGGTTTGTCAAAGATCAGATGGCTGTAGATGTGTGGTATTATTTCTGAGGGTTCTGTTCTGTTCCATTGGTCTATATCTCTGTTTTGGTACCAGTACCATGCTGTTTTGGTTACTGCAGACTTGTAGTATAGTTTGAAGTCAGGTAGCGTGATGCCTCCAGCTTTGTTCTTTTGACTTAGGATTGTCTTGGCAATGTGGGCTCTTTTTTGGTTCCATATGAACTTTAAAACAGTTTTTTCCAATTCTGTGAAGAAAGTCATTGGTAGCTTGATGGGGATGGCATTGAATCTATAAAATACCTTGGGCAGTATGGCCAGTTTCACGATATTGATTCTTCCTATTCATGATCATGGAATGTTCTTCCATTTGTTTGTGTCCCCTTTTATTTCATTGAGCAATGGTTTGTAGATCTCCTTGAAGAGGTCCTTCACATCCCTTGTAAGTTGGATTTTTAGGTATTTTATTCTCTTTGAAGCTATTGTGAATGGGAGTTCACTCATGATTTGGTTCTCTGTTTGTCTGTTATTGGTGTATAAGAATGCTTGTGATTTTTGCACATTGATTTTGTATCCTGAGACTTTGCTGAAGTTGCTTATTAGCTTAAGGAGATTTGGGGCTGAGATGATGGGGTTTTCTAAATATACAATCATGTCATCTGCAATCAGGGAAAATTTGACTTCCTCTTTTCCTAATTGAATACCCTTTCTTTCTCCTGCCTGACTGCCCTGGCCAGAATTTCCAACACTATGTTGAACAGGAGTGGTGAGAGAGGGCATCCCTGTCTTGTGCCAGTTTTCAAAGGGAAGGCTGCCAGTTTTTGCCCATTCAGGACTTAACTTTTTTTTTTTTTTTTTAAAGAGACAGGGTCTCACTCCATCACCCAAGCCACAGTACAGCGGCACAATCACAGCTCACTGCAGTCTTGAACTCCTGGACTCAAGCAACCCTCCTACCTTACCTCAGACTCCCAAGTACCTGGGACTACAGGTGCATACCACCATATATGCCTTTTTTATTTTTATTTTTTTTTATTTTTGTAGAGACAAAGTCTAGCTATGTTGCCCAGGTTGGTCTTGAACTTAGGGCCACAATCAATTTTCCCTCCTCCGCCTCCCAAAATTCTGGGATTACAGGTGTGAGCTACCACCACTGGCCTAATATTAAAATTTTTGTCAATCATATTTAATAAACTTATCTTTAGGAAAAAATGCTTTAAAATTCTACCAAAAAACTATTTCACTGAACAATTTTTTCCAAGTTAATTAGGCACTGTGACGGACTCCTATGGAAATTCTTGTTCCATTTATAATCCTCTTTATATCATAGTAATACACAAGTTTCAAGTATTAGGAGCCAAGTCATGTAAGAGGAAGAAAATAGAAAAGCCAATATTGTCATTCTATCATCTGCAATCTCTAGCAAACTATCTTCACCACATCATACGATAAATTTTATTTGTTTACAGGTTTTATTAGGTTAGACTAGGCCATCACTTAAGTTCTTTTCCTTAATAATAATTATTTGATTGTTAAAGATAATTAAGTCCTTTTCCAAAATCATTTCTGGCTAGACGCGATGGCTCATGCTTGTAATCCCAGCATTTTGGAAGCCTGAGGAGGGATGATCACTTGAGCCCAGGAGTTCGAGACTAGCTTGGGCAACACAGTGAAATCCTGTCTCTACTAAAAATACAAAAATTAGCCAGGCATGGTGGTGTGAGCCTTAGTCCCTGCTACTCAGGAAGTTGAGATGGGAGGATCACTTGAGCATGGGAGGCAGAGGTTGCAGTGAGCCAAGAATGTGCCACTGCACTCTAGCCTGGGCAACAGAGTAGCCTGGGCAACCTGCCTTGAAAAGAAGAAAAAGTTTCCATGAAAATCAAAACCAGCATCATGTTTTAACATATTTGAAAAAAAATTTTTAATGTTCATATATACAGTCACACATATATGCCGTCACACATATATGCCCATAGAAACATACACATTAGAGTACTTTTAAGTGAAAAAATTTGCCAGAAACAACATAATAAATCTATTTTCATGTTACTTCTCATACAATTTAAATGATCTGAATTTTTAAACATTTCTTTTAGCTTACAATTAAATACAACTGAAATTCCATAACTCTTCAATATACACAAAAATTTGAGCTTCTGAATCTACCTATTTGCAATTTAATTTTTTTAAATGAAGCTTACAATTATGCACTACAAATTAATAAATAATCTCAATGTGTGAGTAAAATATCTGGCAGGTTACAGACTTAGACAAGTTTATAAATATACTGGTCTAATGTTTATCCATTTTTAAATGTAACATAGTAAAAAATCATAAATGTTTGTAAAGTATACACTGTTCATATAATACTTGATACAAAAATACATGCTAGAATTGTTTACAAATTTTAGCAACAAAAGGTGTTAATGTTCACATAAATAAACTATATAATTGTTAATTATTTTATATATAAATATAGTACCATCTTCCCCACTCCAGGATTTAGGGTGCAAATCCTCTTACCAATTAGTCATTCATTCAACAGAACTTTATGGCTAGGAAGTCACACTTCAAGTTGCACTAGCACACTATTACTTTGGGGATGAAAAGTTTAAATTTCCTAAAACGTGCTCTACAAAAATATTTCCATGAGAGTTTTTCAGAGAGTCAATTGCACTAGAGCCTGATGAAACTTTTTCAACCACAAAAAGACTCGAGTTCTACAAAGCGTCACAAAGATGTGAACACGAGAAACTGCAGACTCTCCATCAGATATATTTATTGAAAAAGCTGAATGGAAAAAGCAATGTGCACAGAACACACATTAGCAAGGGAGAATATATTATTTCATTTATTCAACAATCTATTTTTTCAAACACAGCCAGGAATGCAGAAAGGAAGAGCAGCCTCGAAAGAGCCAAAGAGTAGGTCATGAG